CCGATGCTAGTGTGCCCCCCCCAGCAGTCCAGGCTTTTTTTGTGGACCCTGGGGCAGAGCAGCTGGGGCGCTACCGGTTGGTCCCGCAGCGCCGCTCTGGGCACTACTGGACCAACCCGGCAGCACCCCAGCTGCTCTGCCCCGGGCTTCCTGGAATCAGCTGCTGATCAGTTTCAGCAGCAGCTGACTTGGGGTTCTTAAGTTGAATCTGTATGTAAGTCAGAACTGGTGGTCAGTTTCAGCAGCGGCTGAATCTGGACGCCAGTTCCGACTTACATACAGATTCAACTTAAGAACAAACCTACAGTCCCTATCTTGTACGTAACCCGGGGACTGCCTGTACATGTAAAAACCAGTAGTTACCAAAACAGATACTTTGTAATGGATGCTATTAACTAATGTCTTTCCTTTTCCTATGCTAACATATCCTAAACCTAACCTTGTTTTGTAAGTCTGCTAAGCACTAACTTAGAATAGTGAATGCAATGCAGAGGGATGGAGCGTGGTCGTTTTGCATCTTTTGTTTCTTGTTCTAGCGCTATATAGTCCACAAGCGCTAGAGCAAGAGGCAGATTGCTGAAAGGTAAATTATTATTTGCCTTTACATGCTTGTTCAATGTAGCCACCAGTTAACTTGTCTGCCTTATTCATATTTAAACCCTGAAAGTGTTTCTGATAGTGCCAATGTCACTCTTAATGCCATTTCCTCTGTGTGTGGGTGCAAACCCCCAGGAGTGAGACATAACACTCAAGGGAATCCCACATTTCAGCAGCCATTAAGGGTGTGTAATGTAGACATAGCCTAATACTGTTCTACAAATATTAATTAATTCACATAGCACTCTTTGGAAGCAAGGACCCCATTTCACATGGGTAAATCACTTATGACTCAAATTTTTCACAAAATCAAAGAGCTACATCCAGGATTAAGATTTACATTCTTGGGTTCAAATCCTATGCTCCATTCCCTGACTCACATTCCTAGCACACATAGGAATACTCTATGAAATTCTCTAATGCATGTTTATAATATCAAATCAGGCTGATTTATGTTCATTTGCAGTTGAATGTTTTAGTTTTTTATTGATCAGTTCACCTAGAAAAGGATTTCTTTGTTGATACCATATGGGCCCTATTAAAGCATTATCTACATCTTATTTTACCTATTTAAACTTGGAGAATGTTCTTGGCCCCTGTAGAAACTACCAGACAAAAATATATTCATGGATATTTTACATGTTGTGGCATGTTTTCGGTACTACCAATAGATAGTATTTGCTCAAACACAGGAAATGCATCAGCATTACTCTGCTGTCTCCCACTGTTTGATTGTTTGGTAATTTAATCAGAAGGCATACTGAAGGGTTTAAAGAGTACTCTGCATTTTTCATTTTTCCTTGCAAGTCAGCAGCTAAATATACCTGTGCAGCGACTAATGCTTTAGACTCCTGGTGGGAGTTTGGGATGTTAATGCTAAGTGTCTTGCTCACATTTGCTGGGGTTTTTATAGGCTCCTAGAATCTCAGCTTCAGTCCCAGAAAAAGAGTCACGACAATGAGTTGGAAGCTCTCCGGGGCGAGATTCAGAGTCTGAAGGAGGAGAATAACCGCCAGCAGCAGCTTTTAGCACAGAATCTGCAGCTGCCCCCTGAGGCCCGGATTGAGGCCAGTCTACAGCATGAGATCACACGGCTGACTAATGAAAACCTGGTAAGGGAGATGATACTACAATGTAAATGCTAGGAGATTTAGAGAGAGAGATACAGAGACACGTATACTGTCACCAGTATTCAAATGGGAAACTCCCCAAGTTAATTGATGTTTGCAGTACATTTTTGCAGGTAGGATAACACTAATAGATTAAACTACAAAATTCACACTGTTAAGACATAACATTTCAGCCCCTCATATGAGAGAGGAAATTTCTCTGGTATGATTTTCATTACTAACACTGTGCTGGAGGTAACTTTCTAGAGCCCTTGTTACAGTTCCACCATCACATTGAAAAGCGGATTGGGCTAATTATCTGACACCCGCCCCCCTTTTGTATATGGCAAAGCATCCCTAAAAGGAGACTATTATCCCTGGAATTTATACATAAATGTCTGCAAAGTATTTGCCCTAAATTACACAAGGTGTCAGGTGTTTTTAGAAAAACTCTGACTTTTTATAACTTCACAACTGCTTTAGAAAGTCTCTATTGACCTCATTCCCCCATCTTGAAATTACATTGATCAAGCATTGCATTGCACTCAATGTTTATTCAGTATATGTTGGAGGAACAAACATTTTCAGGAGGTCTCTTGGCCAAATGGGGATTAACTCCCTGCTTGGAATGACAGCATTTTTGTATGAATGAAAGAAGAAATGAACAGATTCCCTTGCCTATCAAGCTCTTCTCTTCAGACATTTACTTCCTGGTATACAGAGTTCATACCAGACCAATAAAGGAATTTTCTCTGAGAGCCCTGAAATATTGCAGGCACGTGTCACTCACAACCCAAAAATGTTTCTCCTGTAATGTAATTTTAATAGAACACTGAATTGTGCTGCCTTTAAGGGGAAAGAGAGTTCTCCTACCTGTGCTGACACTAGTGGTTCCCTGTTCTAAACAAAGTGAGAGAGGTTCTTTCCCAGTTCAGTACATCACAACCAGTCTTAATATGGGGTTGTATTGGTAGTGTCTGAGGTTTTGACAGAAAGTGACAGGCTGAAGATAGTGGTCTTGGAAGTAAGTTCATGATTGAAAGCTTTTTACTAGTTTATTCCAATAATATTACCCCCACTGGAAAATATTAATGATTAAAGCTTTCCCGTGAGTATAGCTCCTCCTTTCACATATTTAGTCTGTATTTTGGTATCTAGATACCTTTTGGAGACTGATACTCAATAGATTCTAGCCTCCAAAGATAACATATAGTCACATAATTCCATCCCAGATAACTTTTCTTTTCACATCGAAAGAAGGGAATATTACTTGCCACTTTTAGATTCATTCTTTAGGAATCTGAGTCTGCTGTTACAGAATGCCAGGCTGACTGCATTCTTCTTTTCCACTATCTGTTAGGAAAAGTGAGAAAGAATTAATAGGTTTCCTTGATGTGAACATGAGAAGCCATTCTTCCGCTCTACTCTGCGCTGATTAGGCCTCAGTTGGAGTATTGTGTCCTGTTTTGGGCACCATATTTCAAGAAAGATGTGGAGAAATTGGAGAAAGTCCAGAGAAGAGCAACAAGAATGATTAAAAGGAAAACTGAAAGAATTGTGCTTGTTTAGTTGGGAAAGGAGAAGACTGAGGGAGGACATGATAGCAATTTTCATGTATCTGAAAGGATGTCATAAGGAGGAAGGAGAAAAATTGTTCTCCTTGGTCTCGGAGGATAGGACAAGAAGAAATGGGCTTAAACTTCAGCAAGGGAGGTTTATGTTGGACACTAGGAAAAACTTCCTAACTGTCAGGGTGGTTCAACACTGGAGTAAGTTGCCATGGGAGGTTGTGGAGTCTCCTTCCCTGGAGGTATTTAAGAGCAGGTTAAATAGACCTCTCTATCAGGGATGGTCTAGACAGTACTGAGTCCTGCCGTGAGGGCAGGGGACTGGACTCGATGACCTCTCCCTCTTTCAAGGAGGGAGTTCTAGTTTTCTATGTTTCTATGAATTTCAATGTTCACTGTATTCTCATAGTCAGTTGTATTCGTTGAGTTTATAATCTTCTGACATAGGTTCTCACCTAGTCTCATTCTCACTGTTACGTTATTAATAACATTAATAAGAATTGACCCAATTAGCACTCACGCTAATTCATCTTAATCAAATATAGTCTATCAGGGTCAGCTTTAGGAAGTGTGGGGCCCAATTCGAAGAGTTTCGATCAGGCCCCGGCAGCTGGGATTTTTTGTTGGGGGGCGGGGAAAAACCCACAGCATACAAAAGAACAGTTACAGACCCTTTAAGTCCTCAGCTATAGGGCAGAGTTCTGCCTTCCCTGTGCTCGACTCACCCCTTCTCCGGGGCCGACGCCGCCTCCCGCAGCACGCCAGCACACTTCTGGCTTTAGGGCGCAATTCGGGGGAATCAGGCGAATCGGCGTAAAGCCAGCCCTGTAGTCTATGAGCAAATGGAGAGAACAATAGCAGCAGAATATAAAACTTAGTCTGCTAAAAACAAAATGAGCTGCTTAATTTTGTTTGAACCTGACTTATTTATTCAGTGTTTGATGAAATATTAGTATCTCAAAGGGAGGAGAAAAAAAATCTGTACCTATTTTTTCAGTTTTATGAGGAGTTATATGCAGATGACCCAATGAAGTATCGGTCGTATCGGATTTCACTTTACAAACGGATGATTGTATGTAGATCATGTTTCTTTGTTTTGTTTGCTTCATCTGAAGCATTAACTGAAGAGCAAGCTGCCTGCCTTTTCCTCTCTCCAAGGAAATCCTCTACAGAGAGCTTCACAATGTCAACTTTTTCCCACAGCTTTTGTTGTCAGTCTTTAATGTCCTTTGTGTAATGTTAATGTCTGGTTTTGACACAGTTTGTTACTAATCTGAGTCTTGTAGCGTGATCACAGCAGCCTAATTTTAGATATAAAATTACATTTTGGGATCAAAATTGGCATCCTGAACATGAAGCTAATGATGCTAAAATGCTTTGTTTCCAAATTTGCTGTTTGCTAAACATTTTAAAGGTGAAACATTAAAATCTGGTTCAACTGATTAAAATTAAATCAACATTAAAATTACAGGCTGATCCTACAGAGACTGACTGGTACACATAGTTCCCGCTAAAACGGATAGTCCTGATAATAGGTCTTCCCAGAGCTATTATTCATGTTAATAAATAATTGTAGGACTTGTATCCTGCTATTAGATTGTTAAACCAATTTATTATAAATACGATGGAATCAAAATTCTCTGTTGATCTCTTGCTCTAAGGTTATGTCTACACTGGCAGCTTCTTGCGCAAGAACTGTTTTGCAGAAGAGTTCTTGCGCAAAAAGTCTTCCACAAGATTGCGTCTACACTGGCATGTGCTTTGCGCAAGAGCGTCCATGGCAGTGTGGATGCTCTCTTGCGCAAGAAAGCTCTGATGGCCCTTTTACACATGGGGGTTTCTTGCGCAAGAAATTCATGTTGGCTATCTACACTGCCCTCTTGCACAAGAGCTCTTATTCTTCGTGGGGAGAGGAATAACTCTTCAGGAAGAAGCCCTGTTTTCTGATGCTGTACTGTATATTTACTTGCGCAAGAATGCGTGTGCAGTGTAGACACCCGGCATGTTTTTGCGCAAGAGGCCGCCAGTGTAGACATAGCCTAAGTTTTTTAATTACAATTTTCACCAAGAGCTAAAACAAAGGAAAAAACAGGAAAATAGAAATTCATTTCTGGGTTTCCAAATATGAACGAGAGGCTCACATGTACTTATTTTGTTTAGCCTTTTTGTGATGATGTGGAAATCAGATCCCTTGGTTGAGATTTTGAGAGCAGTTCTAGTAGATTTAGACATGCATCTGTCTTTAATTTTAATAAAAGAAATGCTGTGTCTGTGGACAAGGAAGTCAATGGGAATTTTTGGTTAACTATTTAACCACTGCTTTGAATATGAACTGGTGCTCTGTCTCACTGGCTACTAGATCTTTAATTTGACTCGTGCAGTTTTGTCACATTTTAGGTGGTAAACTCTTTTGGGGCACTTAAAAAGTGCTTATTTTATGCCTGCTTCCCACCAATTGTCAAAGACATGCTAATATTTTCCAAAACATTTAGGGAATTATAGCTTTTCTGATGGGTGCTTCTGGTCCAGAATGGGCATGCTACCTCACATTTTCATCAGTATAATATGGAACCAAAATGTATTGAGTGTAGTTTCTTTTCATATGCTTTCAAACCCTTGATCTTAAGTGGCTTTTGAGTTTTCCTGTGTTCATGTCATCTTCAAAGGCTTTCCATAAATTATATAATTTTTTTAAATTGTGCACCACAGTGTGTATTATAAAATTACAAGATGGTAGGTCCCTTTCCAAAACACTTGATGTTGAAGGGCACAGATTGACAGCAATTTAGTGCACAGCAAGTGCAGTGTAGATCTACAGTGCACTACCCTGATGTTCACTAAATCAGCATGTAGACCTTTGTACTATGCACTAAAAGTCCTTAGCTCCAGACCAGCAGTAAGTCAAGGCATATTGTGACCTTTTAGTGCACAATAGCAGAGTCCATACAGCAGCTTATGGTATGTCAAGCTAGTGTGCTATAGATTTACGCCCCCGCTTGCAGCGTACTAACTTTCCGGGTTGTCATGCCTTAAATAAGAGAGAGCACTATGAGCAGGGCTCAACAAATAATGCATTCTACTTGCCCGTGGCGAGTAGATTACAACCCGGAAGAGCCAGGTTTGGGTGATCTGCACACCCGCAGATCGCCAGACAGCGCGGCTAGTGTGCGGGGCTCACCGCAGTTCAGCGAGCCCTGACTATGAGTATATTATTGTTACTGATTTGTATTGTGACTGTGCTACAGAGCTGTTCATGGGCTGGGGCCCCATTGTGCTATGTGCTGTACAAACACAAAACAAAAATATGGTCTCGACCCCAGTGAGCTTACAGTTTAAGTAAATGTGATAAAAGCAGGCAGATGGTGGTATGGCAGAGAAAATGCATGAGGGTTACAACAAATATAATGTGTTTTATAAAGTTGAATTTGAGTGTTGTACCTCCCCCCCTTTAAAAAAAATCCTATTCCATTTTGTGAGGCTAAAGACAGACATAGGGGCAGGAATAGAGGGTGCAGAAGTTGAGGTTAGCAGTACAACGGGAGCCTTCTTGAATTCATGTTGTTATACAATCTCTTGCACTCACCATCATCACTGACCAGGATATGTAGGCATCTGCACAATATATCTGCCTAAGAGTTCTGCTTCCATCACGCTGCAGCTTGACAATGTTTGGCTTGCATTATAAGCAGTGTGCAGGCTTGCAAATTTCAGCCAGATGGTGGCATCTCCTTTCAGCTTTTCTCACGGTCCCTTTTGTAGCACTAATAATACTTGTCCTGTTTGCTTCCCATGCAATGCATTTGTCTAGTACCTGAATCTTCTCTCTCCTTTTCATTTACAGGATTTAATGGAGCAGCTTGAAAAGCAGGACAAGACAGTTCGCAAGCTGAAAAAGCAGCTGAAAGTGTTTGCTAAAAAGATTGGTGAACTGGAAGGTATTTATAACGTTGTGTGTGAAGAATCTGTTCAAATTCCTGTTGCGCCCAATCTGTTTGTATGTTGTTTTTTAGTAAGGCAATGAGTCTTAAGCAGCACAAACCAATGTTAGCTTAACATGGAAATGGAAGATCTACTAAGAGTTCGGTGGGCCTGTTGAGGGCTCTGTAATGATATTGTCTAAAATTGTAGTTAATATTGATTGTAGCCTTTATTTTAAATTGAACGAATTGATAGTTCTGTGGTAAATTACAATGAGTCCAGCTCCTGCTGCAACAGTTTAAAGATAAATAAGATGGAGATCTGGAGGCTCTGTGAACACACACTGTATGAGGACAGTAACCACAGACAAAGCATAAGTTCAAAAAAAATCTCATTTGTAGGGTAGGTTGTACGTTACACTGCATACCAATTGATGCAACTTGAGAGCATCCATGCACTGATGGATATTGGTGAGTCCCATATCCATACTCACCAACCCAAAAGTTTCAGAGTTGGGTGGATCTCTCTAAAAGTGGCCATTGAGATAGGTGGGTGGTTCCAGCTTAAGTCATCCCTGTGAGGTCTTCCCAGGGTCTTCCCACTTTTACCCAACCAGGGAACCTGTTTTATACTGTTGTTCTGACCACACCTAACATATTATACTTATGCATGAAAGCTCAGTCCTCTTTTCTTTATCTATACTCCCAGACCCCATGAATATTGGGGGCCCCATTTTATATATGTTGTCATCTTAATTCCCCTTATTTTCATGAGTGTAAAAACAGGGTCTATGGTAACCTGCGGTCACTGCAGGACATCCCATGATGTTACACTCTTGCACTCCAGACAGGCACATTACAACATATTTCCCATAATATTGGCCATTGGCCCACTCTTTCAGGCAATCTAGTAACCTTGCTGGCATATGTCAGCCCAGAATAGCTAAGCTAAAACCTTACAGGCCTCAACCTGACGGCCTTGTGTTCCAGCCATACTTTGCATATATATCTAATGCACACTCATCAGTCCTAATACCTGTGAATCTTATGCATCTATAATCCTACAATTAAAATCTACTTAGCATACATAGAATATATGTGAAATAGCATACGAGGTGACCATAACAGTAAACATGATAAACGGGTGATAAAATGAACTAATTAGCTATATAAAAGAAGATGAAGAGAAAAAAGGAAAGACCAAGGAAACGGAAGGCCAGGTTGATTACAAAACTGCAGAGGTGGGCAATAATTTTTTGCTGGGGGCCACCTCAGAAATTTTTGAAGTGGCCCTGGGCTGCACTGGAAGAGGTGGGGACAGGATACTTCCCTGCTTCCCCACTCACAGACCCTTGATTGATCTGGGGATGCGGGAGCGTGTGACGTCTCCCACCTCCCAGAGGTTCCCCCTAGGCACCCATGCCCCTGGCGGTGGGAGGAGACTTCGCGCACTCCTCCTTCTGCCCCCAGACCAATCAGGGTGGGGGCGGGGCGGAATAAACTTCCCCCGCTTCCCCCACCCCTAGGCCAATCAGGGCTTGGGGGCGGGGAGCACGCGAAGTCTCCTCCCACCCTGCCCAGGAGCGCATGTCGGTGTGTGTTTCTGGCAGGGCGGAGAAAACTTCGTGCACTTCCCCTGCCCCCAGGCCGTAATTGGGACACACAGAATACTGATGTAACATCCTTTGTGAGACTTCACCATCATTGCTTGCTGGCTTGGCTTCAGACAGCATACCTGCCAAGTAAACACAATATGGATAAGTTGGTCACACTCCCTCTCAGTGCTGTACTCTCTAGATTGGTGGGAGAGCAAATGTGCGTGGAAGTTCTCTTCACTTCTTCCCTTCCTGAGAAAACATTGTTCATTGCTGTCTCCCTGTGAGAATGGAGCATTCATCTAAATGAGCACATAGGAAGGAGTACTGCAGAAAGGAATCTAGGGTCATAGTAGATGAGTCAGTCTACAGTGTGACATTGTGGCAAGAAAAGCAAACATCGCTCTGGAATGTATTAGCAGGAGTGTTGTAAGCAAAACATGAGAAATAATTCTTCTGCTCTACTCCATGCTGATTAGGCCTTAACTAGAGCATTGTGTCCAGTTTGGGGCTCCATATTTAAGGAAAGATGTAGGCAAATTGGAGAAAGGCCAGACAAGAGCAACAAAAATGATTAAAGATCTAGAAAACATGACCTATGAGGAAAGATTGAAAGAATTGGGTTTGTTTAGTCTGGAAAAGAGATGATTGAGAAGGGACATAAGTTTTCAAGTACCTAAAAGGTTGTTACAAGTAGGAGGGAGAATTATTCTTCTTAACATCTGATGATAGGACAAGAAGTAATTGTCTTAAATTGCAGCAAGGAAGGTTTATGTTGGACGTTAGGAAAAACTTCCTAACTGTCATGGTGGTTCAACACTGGATAAATTGCCTAGGGAGGTTGTGGAATCTCCATCACTGGAGATATTTAAGAGCAGGTTAGACAGACATCTATCAGGGATGGTCTAGATGGTGCTTGGTCTTGCCATGAGTGCAGGAAACGGGGCTTGGTGACCTCTCAAGGTTCCTCCCAGACCTATCATTCTATAGTATTAATGGCATGGACTCCTTGGGCATCCAAGATGCACAAAAGCCTTTTAGAACTGAGAGGCCTGCAAAAGGTTCTTACTGCTCATACAATCCCAGCATATTCAACTGGTGTCAGACAATATGACAACAGTGTTCTATATTAACAAACCCCAGGGAGCAAGATCTGTCCCGCTTTCAGTAGAGTCTGTCAGTTTGTGGAATGGGTGTGTTTATCACCAGATTACCCTATCAGCAGTGTACTTCCTGGGAATACACAATACAGTGGCAGAGAGCTTCCACAGAAAAGGATTACGAAAGGGAGCTACATGATTTTCTGGTGCATAGCGTATTCCAATACTGGAGGTTATCTGTCTTGATACCTGTTTCCGGGTATGTCTATACTGCAGAGTTTTTTCGGAAAAATGGCCGTCTTTCTGAAAAAACTCCAGTTACGTCCACACTGCAATTGCGTACTTTCAAAAAAAATTGAAAGAACAGAGGGATTTTTCCGACGTTGGTAAACCTCTTTCTACGAGGACAAAGCCTTTTTCCAAAAGAGCTTTTTCAGAAATTGGCGTATATGAATGGGGAAGAGGGAGCTCTTTCAAAAGAAGAGGAAAAAGCACAGGTGCCCTGGTACTGTCCATAGTAATCACAGCTTAAACGCTCTCTTTCAGAAGAAGTTTTTTCGGAAGCTCTCTTCCAGAAAAGCTTCTTCCAAAAGAAGCCTGCTGTCTAGGCATAGCCTCTATCCCAAGAGAACAGGAAATGCAAGATGTACTGTTCCAGAAGTGCTCCAAGTCAGGACTGCAGTAGAGAAATGCTTCTGCTCCTTTGGTCAAAATATTTCATGCATGCCTTTTCACCAAATCCATTCTTGCATCTGAGGAAAATCCAGCAGGATGGAGCTGTGGTCATTCCTATTCTCAGATGGCTCAAGTCGTTTTGGCTTCCCAAATTGTTTTAGATGTCACTCATCACCCATCAATATCCTACTCTTCCCAAACCTCTTGATCCAGAACACAGAAGGGTCAAACATCCCAGTCTGAACTCCTTCCACTTCATGGAATGGAATGGAATGGAATGGAATGGAATGGAATGGAATGCTGCACCTAACACAGATACGGTTGGAAGGCATCCAAACCATCCTTAACGATAGCATAAGAACGATCATACTGGATCAGACCAAAGGTCCATCTAGCCCAGTAGCCCATCTTCTGACAGTGACCAATGCCAGGTGTCCTAGAGGGAATGAACAGAATAGGTAATCTTTCAGCAACAAACTGCACTTCAGGATATGCCTAGGTTCAAGCGTAGTTTGTGGAAATGATTATGAAAGTTGTTTATCTTTCTCTGTGTTGATTAGCCAAAATAATGTAGGAGGGGCTTGGTCTGAAACATCATCTCTCACTAAGTGTAACAAAGAAAAACCTGTAAGAATGCTAACATTTTGCTGTACAGCTAATGGTGACTTCTGCAGAACAATCCAGTAAGTGACTAATGCTATTTCTGATTCTTACACTTTTGTGTAAGAATCCAGCAAATCAAAACTAATCACTTTTAATTTCCAAAAATAGCCTAAAAGGTCTGTTTTTTCCATAACTACATTGGGAGCACTGACAGGGAGGTAACATATATTAATGGGTGTAACCCATCCACTTCCACTTTTCATTAAAGGGAGGGTGCTTTCCTAAAATAAGTTTATCGGGAATTAAGTCTCTTAGTACAATGTGAGTTGTACTGGGTGGTGCTAGGCTAAATCAAATAAGGACACTCCTTGATGACAAATGTTAGAGTTCTTGAATAAGAGCATAGGAATTTCTGTTGTTGTGTAAAGCTTGCATTAGAAAATATTTTCTCAGTTGTATTTTTCTCCCCTCTTAAAGTGGGTCAGATGGAAAACATTTCGCCTGGGCAAATCATTGACGAACCCATACGTCCAGTTAATATTCCACGGAAAGAAAAGGACTTCCAGGGAATGTTAGAATATAAGAAGGATGATGAGCCAAAATTGGTCAAGAATCTTATTTTAGGTAAACATTTTCTTTATTTGCAATAAATAGTGTAGTAACATGGGATTTGCCTTATCAGGTCAGATAACTGATCTTGGTAGTTTGGTATCTTAGGTTTTGCAGTGTCTGGTTAACCTAATATTTTGGAGGAAGGCGAGAGTCCTTCAATGCAGTATCTCAACTCTTTTTTATAATGTTATCTTTCCTCTTCCTTAGTATTTCAAATATTGCCGATGCCTTTTGTAATTCTCTGTGCATTTTTTTTAAACTGGTAAAGGGATTTTTTGTGATCCAATAGCTTTATCAGAAGAACACTGTCTGTAAAATAAATGCCATTCGTGTTCATTGGCCAAAATTATGAGGAGTAGCTGAGGAGCTGCAGCCAAACTGCAGATTATAGCATCTGGTTAATTTAGATTTGATGTAAAGTTGCATGTATGTGTGCTGGGCTTCCAAACGACTGGGGAAAGTGACCAGCTACCCCGGAGCCTGGAGATTTAAAAGGGGTCAGGGCTCTCTTTCACAGCTGCTGCTACCTTGGCAGTGGCTGGAGTCCTGGGCCATTTAAATCGCTGCCAAAGCCCCCGACAGTGCATGCTCTGCAGCCCAGGGATGGTGAAGGGCTGGCTGTGGGATGCTAGCCCACAGTCCCACCCTTTCTACCTGAACCCAGGGATGGTGAAGGGCTGGCTGTGGGATGCTACCTGAGGCCCTGCCCCTTCCCGCCCAGGGCCTGCTGAAACCTCATGTCAGCCCTGTGTGTGTTTTTCCTCAGATCTGAAACCACGTGGTGTGGCAGTCAACCTGATCCCAGGACTACCAGCATATATATTGTTTATGTGTGTCCGCCATGCTGATTACCTTAATGATGATCAAAAAGTGAGGTCATTACTGACTTCCACTATTAATGGCATCAAAAAAGTATTGAAGGTTAGTTGTTTCATTTCTTTCATGAAAACACTATTTGAAATCTACTTTTGCTTTTGTTTTAAAGAATAGAAAAAAGAATTTAACTGATTTGGCTTTGGGTACTCGTTACTAAGTTATTCCTGCAAATAACTGCCCATCACAAAAAATACTTTCACTTTTCCCCAGATCATAGCTAGGGATAGAGTTGTGCAGAATTAGTTTCATAATACACTGTTGACAGAATTAGTTTCATAATACACTGTTGACAGTTTGACTCAATAAAGCAGTAGAATGTATATTAACCCCTGTATTTGATCCTAAAAAACCTTCATCCTGTCCTCCATTTGTGTATGTGTAATTTTGTGCACATTGGCACTTGCACAATTCATTTTTTATAGACTCCTGCCAGTCTTTTCCATAAAGCTGCAAATAGTTCAGTTGATGTTTTGGTTGGGAGAGTCATTGGTGCTTGTGTGTAATTCTAAGGACTGTACTGCAAGCTGGCTTAGAAAGGTTGAGGCTAGTTATGGTCTGTAGCCAACGTTAATATACTTAAATAGATTCCCCTATGTAGTTTTCATTGGGGCATTTTTCAGTCACTAAACAAAACAACTGCCATGATTCTGAAAGCATTTAAGCAATCCACACTGTTTGGAAAAGCTTTAGTGTAAACATCAGATGTTCAGGAGTTCAAGACAATATATGAATACGCTCGGGAGAACAATGTGTCTAGTATTATATTAGTTACAGCACATTCTGTAAAGTGCTTCACATTTAATTGTTCAGGAAACAGTTTCTAGATTCAAAGCAAGCCTGGGGCTTTGTTTTTTCTTGTTAAGTTGATGCATTAGGTTTATTAAAATTGTTTTATAAAGTAATAGCTAAAATCCTCCAAATTATAAGCTATGTTTTGCTCTCCCTGCTATACATCCGTTATTGTCAGTGTTGTGGTGTGCTGAAACTGATAATACTGTGGCACAATGAATATTGGTAAAAGAAAATGCAGTAACAAACATTGTCACCTAGAATACAGCTCACTTCACAAGACAATGGGAAAAAGTCTGTAAAATTGGAAAAGAAAGAATTTGTTTGGAAGATAATATTTTAAAATGTCTAAGAATGTAAAAATAAATGTCACTGTTTAAAACAAAATACTTTTTTTTCAAATAATATTATAACAGTGTACAAAAAGCTCTCCAACATCAACATTACTATACTGGTAAATCTATACGGACACCAGAAGAAAATAGATGCATGCTGTGTATTTTTTATCTATTTTAATTTATAACATTTTCTTTTTCACTTTGTCTTATGATTCCAAACTTAAATGTCTCTGTTTTTGTCTTCAGAAAAGAGGTGACGACTTTGAAACAGTCTCCTTCTGGCTATCTAACACCTGCCGATTTTTGCACTGTTTGAAGCAATATAGTGGAGAAGAGGCAAGTGACACTCTTGTTGTATTATTTAATTTTCACCCTATGATTAATAATAGACCTTTCCTTTGAATTGACCATTTTGTTAAAATACAACATGAAAATAGGTGCATCAGTTAATGTGCCCTAATGGTTCAACTGCCTGCATTCACATATGGCATGGCTCACAAACAAGCACATTTGATCGTGTCAAACAAGTTCACAAAGTGGTCACAGTGTTTGACTCTTTGTAATCATTGATCTTTGACCAAGGGAGACAGAACACTGGTATAGCAAAGGGCTTATAGACCAGGTGGATTTGCATAGTTTCATGATGCCAGTGTTATCAAGGTGGGTTCGCAGGAAATCTCTGTTAGAAAGAAGCTCTAAGAAACGTGTTTTAGAATAAGATGTGGTAAACTGGCGCTTGAGGTCCATAATAAACTGGTGCCCCATGCTGGAGGCAATAGCAGATTACATACGAAATTAAGATTTTTAACTTATTCTGATTGTTAAAGATGCATGGCGCTATTTGTAAAAGTTAGGATGTTAGCCCGGATTCCTGGACATGTTGCCAGTAAAGCAGAACCTATTTAATTAGATATTGGGGAGGCATTCCGTCCATAACAGTCCAATTGAGAATTCCCCAAAATAAAATTAGAGGGTGGGATCTCTGACCTTCCACAAAGCTGGCAGAACTGCAGCAGACACTGGTCAGTGGCGCACAGGTTTTGGGAAGGAGCTCCCCTCAGCTATGCGGAGCCTCCATTGGCATAGGACCATGCACTAGTTGTGTAAGTTGGTACAACAAACTCACAGCAGGACACAGACCAGCCCGAAAAATGAGAAGCTCTGACACTTTCCACCCACCCGCTCTCCTGCACTGGCTGGAGGCTGAACAAGAGAGAGAATCTGGTCCTGTAACGCTGTTGAGAAGAGGAAGTGAGTAATTGTGCTGGCTTGCTGTCAGCTTGTCAGCCCTAGTCACAGCTCACTCCAGAAGTGGCTGTATTCAGTGCTGCATGAAGTGGTGCCCCAGTGTGTAAATCAGTTTGCCTAATGTGCTGTATAGTCCTTCCAGATCAGAGGTGCTATGATGGTGGCAAAATTATAGTTATTTGAATATTAAAAAAGACACATAAGGTATGTCTGCACTGCACTCCCATTTCAGCAGCACTCAGAGTAGCTGTGCTACACTCCCTCCTATCCTAGGCATCAATAGCAGTGTGCACAGTGAAGCACTGCATAAGGATTCCTGAAGCCTCTGGGTATGTACAATGTAGGGTCCTGCTACCAGAGTTTTTCCCTGCCGCAGTGGAAAGACTCTGGCAATGGAGACACGGCTCAGGTGGGGGAAAGCAGCAGGGCAAACCTCTGGAAAATCCTCACTGCCTTGCCCATGCCAGAGCCTTTTACTGACATGCTGTAATATGGATGCAGCCTCTTCAGTGCAGCGTGTAGCTATCCTACTCAACATTGCAAAAGGTCTAGATGGTACTGAGTCCTGCCATGAGGGCAGGGGACTGGGCTCGATGACCTCTCAAGGTCCCTTCCATTTCTAGTGTTCTATGATTTTATCGTTCTAGGTGTGCAATGTGGAGGCAGTCTTCAAGGTCTTTAAATGTACCTTCCTATTCATACAGTTCTTTAAAGGCCTAAAAAGATGAGTTGGGCAGCTAGAAATAGCAGGGGAAAGTATTAGTTTATTTGTAACTGCAGTAAATGCGTCAGATACTTGAAGTTTCAAGGCAATATAGCCTGGTCTAAAGATTATGTATTAGTTATATTGATTAATCCTGATTTATCACTTTGAGAGTTGACAAGTTCTTATGCCAAGATCAGGCCCAGTTTTCTTCAAATCATTATGTAGATGAGAACTCGGATGTGCACAGTTGCAATACCACAATAGGAACTCTTCTGTATATTTACAAATAGTTTTTATATTTACCCAATTACAAACACTCCAACTCAGGAAAGTTGTAGAAAGAGAGACACCAGAATCCACATCTTTGCAGCCATATACCCTTACCCTCTCTTGTAGAACACCCAGCACCTTCCCCCTCATCACCAGTGGCCATCATTCTGGCACTTCCCAAGGGCTACATCTCCTCCTCCTACCGCCCCTGGTCTGGGATGTAATTTTCACAATGTGTTACGTTGATACCACAATGTTTGATGCAAGGATTTTTCTCCTTTTTCTTATTTGTATTTCCTCACCTTACTCGTGATGGCATGTCCTTCTCCTATAGATTAATATATCTTACTGTTATCCTATATGTCAGTTTGATACCATTGCCCCTTATTGGTTAGGTATCTGTAGATGTAGCTCATGTACCTGTAATGTATGTCAGTTCATTGCCATAACACTGTTGTGGTTGGGTTATGCTCCTGTGATCAGAAATTTCCCTTAAACATACTATTTTTAGCTTCCCGATACTTCAGGTTTCTGTTGGACTGTTTCTGTTCAAAATTCATAGGCCTCAAGCCTAATGCAAACTTGCTGAAGCTAATTTCTTACAAATACAGGCCTATAGGTTCCTTGCATTATAGCTGACTATCATGCTAAGTAGAGAGTATAATAAAGGTAAGCTAACCCTATCACAAAAGTTTTGTGATACATACAGGCAGTCCCCGAGTTACGCGGATCCGCAGTTACGAATGGGGCCCGTCTCCCTGGTCTCCAGCAGACCAGGGAGAGGAAGCAAAGCAGCGGAGCACGCGGGCAGCGGACAGCCCAGACGCTGTCCGCTACCCGTGTGCTCCGCAGCTTTGCTCTGCTTTGCTCCCCGTCTCCCTGGTCTGCAGACACGTCTGGGCTGTCCGCTGCCCACGTGCTCCGCAGCTTTGCCCTGCTTTGCTCCCCATCTCCCTGGTCCTTTGGTCCCTGTCTCCCTGGTCTGCTTACCGGGGAGCAAAGCGGCGGAACACGCGTCTGGGCTGTCCGCTGCCCACGTGTTCCGTGGCTTTGCTTCCCGTCCCCCTGGTCTGCAGACCAGGGGGACGGGAAGCAAAGCCACGGAGCACGTGGGCAGCGGACAGCCCAGACGCGTGTTCCGCCGCTTTGCTCCCCGGTAAGCAGACCAGGGAGACAGGGACCAAAGGACCAGGGAGATGGGGAGCAAAGCAGGGCAAAGCTGCGGAGCACGTGGGCAGCGGACAGCCCAGACGCTGTCCGCTACCCGTGTGCTCCGCAGCTTTGCTCTGCTTTGCTCCCCGTCTCCCTGGTCTGCAGACCAGGGAGACGGGGAGCAAAGCAGAGCAAAGTCGCGGAGCCCGAGGGCAGCAGGACAGCCACGGCGCGTCTGGGCTGTCCCGCTGCCCCCGTGCTCCGCGGCTTTGCTCCGGACGCCTGTGGTACAGCAGCTGGGGCGCTGCCGGTTGGTCCCGTAGCGCCGCTCTGGGCGCTACTGGACCAACCTGGCAGCACCCCAGCTGCTCTGCTCCAGGCGTCCTGATTCAGCCACTGCTGGTCAGTTTCAGCAGCGGCTGAATCTGGACGCCAGTTCCGACTTACATACTGATTCAACTTAAGAACAAACCTACAGTCCCTATCTTGCACGTAACCCGGAGACTGCCTGTATTCAAGTGTTAGCTGCAGTGAAAACTAACAATAAAATGAAATGTTTTAGGGATGTAAGAGGGAGAATGGGAATGAATTTTCAGAAGAGTATTACTTGTCTACAGTAAGAAAAAACACATTTGCTGTTTTCATACATTGAAGCATTCGCTTCCATTGTCTTGTGAATTTAGGGGTTTATGAAGCACAATACACCTCGTCAGAATGAACACTGCCTCACCAATTTTGACTTGGCTGAATACAGACAGGTATTGAGTGACTTGGCTATTCAAATCTACCAGCAGCTCGTCAGAGTGTTAGAGAATATTCTGCAGCCAATGATTGGTAAGGCAAAATTAAATTCCTCTAACTTTCCAGATACATTAATCAAAATAAATTTCTTGCTAAGCAATGAGAATGGTAGTAGTAATATAATTTCTCATATTTTCTGTTAAATGGTTCATTTATATTAAAGTACGCAACTAGTATTCTTTTATAAATGACTGATATAAGGAGAGATAAGGGAGAGAGTATGAAAGCACAACTCTATCCCTGCTTCCCCCACAGTGACAGAGTAGCTGAATACACCTTAGAAATGGTTTAGTAGTATCAGCAATTAAATAGTTAACAGTGTTGCTGTTTAAATTCACATTTTTTAATTACAATTATTTATTCATGCTCTCTAAACAAAGCTGTAGTACAGCAGTACTGTATTGAGCCACCTTCAGGCTTTCTTTAAAGTCATCAAAGCTAGGCTTTTAAAAAAATTATAATGAAAACTTAGATGTGGCAAAAATTAGTTGGGGCAATTAGATAAGAGCTGGAATGGTATAGAATGGTGACCAATAGCAAGCTCACTCTACTCCCTGCATATAAGTATTAGAGGGGTAGCCGGGTTAGTCTGGATCTGCAGAAGCAACAAGGAGTCCTGTAGCACCTTATAGACTAACAGATCTATTGGAGCATAAGCTTTCATGGGCAAAGACCCACTTCATGAAATGAATCTACAGGACTCCTTGTGTTTTTGCATATAAGTATTGTTATTGTTGTTTTGAGTATTTTTCCACTGCAGTAGTAATGTTGTAAATCAAATGCAGTTTCAGGAATGCTGGAGCATGAAACTATTCAGGGCGTCTCAGGGGTCAAGCCAACAGGGCTGCGAAAGAGAACATCCAGTATTGCTGATGAAGGGACCTACACACTGGACTCTATCATTCGACAGCTGAATGCGTTCCACTCTGTAATGTGTCAGCATGGTATGGATCCAGAGCTGATCAAGCAAGTTGTCAAGCAAATGTTTTACATTGTTGGGGCAGTAACTCTGAATAACCTGTTGCTGCGCAAGGACATGTGCTCCTGGAGCAAAGGGATGCAGATACGGTGAGCAAGCACTCTATAGTGCTTTTACTGTCCTCTCTTATGTCCTGTTTGGTGTAATAATTGTTTTGAATAATAGTTGTATTTAACCATTCCATCTGAGAGGGAAGTATTCTAGACTTCTTTATAGCCTCCTTTATTTGAGGGTTTCTTGCATTTAATGTCTCATCAGGAAGTCATTATTTAGTGTAGGGGTAAATCCTGGTTCCACAAACAAAGCTTCTGTAGGATGGAGTTGAGGGTTGGCGGGACAAAATAATTTCCCTTTTGTCTGCAAGCAAGTCCTCAGCCCATATGGGCGATACCTGCTACTGTGCAGTATTGGGGAGGTGTAGTAAATATTCCTCATTGTTTAACCTTGTCAGTTTCTGGCGCAGCGGACACATATGTTCAGCTCTGTTGTCTCTTTTCTCTTTCGCAGCATGGGACACGTTTTATTCATGTTTTTGTTGTCTGTGGCCTAGTATTTTCTGTGTGTGAATTATTGTCATATTCATCTCCCAAGAAGCTTTGAAAATCTCCTCCTACATACAATCCTGCTTCTCTTAACTGCACGGAGTAGGCTTCTAGATGTGCATATGGGGAATGGAGTTAGGCTGTCCATCTGAACAGAACTAAATAAGGAGAAGTGGTAGATATAGTGTTGGGCCATTATTTTCAAATACTCTTTGGAACTCAGGATACGAAGGCTTATAATGGTACAGCATAGGGTTAATAAACAGTTTTCAGGAAACCAATTGCAGGGAGCTGCTGTGGAAATAAACTTATGAAAAATTATAACTAGGTGCTGTATGAAGAAAGTACCCACAAAAACAAAATATGGGCTTTAATTAAACAAAAAGGCTACGTCTACACTGAAGGCTTGCACAAGAAGTCTTGTGCAAAAGGTCTTCCACAAGAGCGCGTCCACACTGCATTGTGCTTTTGCGCAAGAGTGTCCATGGCAGTGTGGATGCTCTCTTGCGCAAGAAAGCTCTGATGGGCATTTTAGTCATAGGGGTTTCTTGCGCAAGAAAATCATGTTGCATGTCTACACTGCCTTCTTGTGGAAGAGCTCTTGTGCAAGAGGGCTTATTCCTCATGGGGAGAGGAATAACTTTTCAAGAAGAAGCCCTGTTTTCCGATGCTGTACTATAAATTTACTTGCGCAAGAACGCGCGTTCAGTGTATACACCTGGCAAGTTTTTGCGCAAGAACAACTGTTTTTGCGCAAAAAGCCTGCAGTGTAGACGTAGCTCTTGATGTTTGGTCAGACTTCATCAGGAGGAGTGAACTCATTCTTGGAGGTTTCCTCTTTTAACAGGTACAATGTGAGTCAACTTGAAGAATGGCTACGCGACAAAAATTTGATGAACAGTGGGGCTAAAGAAACACTGGAGCCTCTCATTCAGGCTGCACAGTTATTGCAAGTGAAAAAGAAGACCGATGAAGATGCAGAAGCCATTTGTTCAATGTGCAATGCTCTAACTACGGCACAGGTAATCCAGCACTCACCTTGTTAGCTGTTACATTTATGCACACCTCTAAATTGCGTTTTCTAAACCTGCATGTGTCACAGAGATTGGGTATTTCTGTTCATGTCATTGTAAACAAGCATCATGAAAACAGAGGTTAAATGGGGAAGTGGGTCCACCCCCAGGATCTGTACCCAAAATAAGTTCTAAGTTGTATTGCTTTAGCTATCCTGGTATTGTTAAAATGTTAGAAGCCCCCTAATGTGAATGCAGTTGAATTAGTGCAAAACTGCTGTATATTAGTATAGTTACATTTCTAGCTGTAGCTCATATACCTATTGGCTATGTCTACACTGTAGGCTTCTTGCGCAATAACTGTTTTGCGCAAGAATTTCTGCTCAATAATTCTTGCGCAAGAGCGCATCCACACTGCCATGTGCTTTTGTGCAAGAGTGTCCATGGCAGTGTGGGCGCTCTCTTGCACAAGAAAGCTCTGATGTCCATTTTAGAAAGCTGTGTTGCCCATCCACACTGCCTTCTTGCATAAGAGCTCTTGCGCAAGAGGGCTTATTTGTTGTGGAGAGAGGAATAACTTTTGTGCAAGAAGCACTCTTCTGACGCTTTACTGTAAATTTACTTGCACACGAACACACGTGCAGTGTAGACTAGAACAGCTGTTCTAGTGCAAAAAGCCTGCAGTGAAGATGTAGCCAATATGTATATCAATTATTTGACTCCAAGAATAGGAGATGCCTGTGTGTCCTACTATGGTGTGGCCAGCCCAATCCTAATCCCTGTATCAGAAATGTAGAAACACTTGGTGTTTTTGCAATGTTAGAAAAGGTAATGAGTTCAGGAGTTTCATGTTATTAAAAAATAGAATCATGAAAAAAGTACAAAGGTTTTTACTTGAAATTAAAGAAATTTATTCTTTATAATTTGATGTTATCCTTATTAACATCTATTGTCTTCTTAGCTTTGGGTCTTAGTTCTGCATTCAGAGCTCTAATTTGTTCCATTTGGAATCAGTGGAAATTTTACTACATTTTCCAGTGGGAACATGATAGGGTCCATGATGTAAGACAAAATCAGAGGAAGTAGCAACTTACTTCGGTGATACTATTGTCACTGATTGATTGATTGTCCTCTTGTAGTTTCCACGGTGTGCTAGTAACTGTCCACACGTGTCAAAACAATAGTCTGTGAATCAAAGGAGACCCAGTCTAACAAAACAAGGATATAGAGAGACAAAGAGCACTAAACCTTATATTTTAAAACAATCCATCAACCTTTAATACCCCTCCCTCTCCTCCCTCCCCCGCTCTAACATTAGCTGATCAATTCCATGTAGCTGTCATGGAAGAAGTAGGGTTTATCGGTGTGCCAGGATCAGCTGTTTAATAATATTATACATGTTGACTTAGGTCTGTTTATTTTAAATGTGTGTCTGAATTTCTTATATCATTTAGCTATTTCTTAAATGAATAAGAAAATTCCTAATAAATTGATTTTAAAAAAAAAAAAAAAAACCCTAACCAGAACTTATCAAGAACTAATTTAGAACAGTATTTCTAAATGTTAAGAATAGGGTGCATATATATTTAAATCACTCATAAACTAAAATGAAGAATTCTTGTTTTTCTTCACAGATTGTAAAAGTTTTGAATTTGTATACTCCAGTTAATGAGTTTGAAGAAAGGGTCTTGGTATCATTTATACGTACGATACAGGTGAGACTGTTTTTGCACCACACATTGTTCAGTTAGTTCTACAAGAACATATAAGCAAGCCTAATGGGGGGAGGGATAGTTCAGTGGTTTGAGCATTGGTCTGCTAAACCCAGGGTTGTCAGTTCAATCCTTGTGGAGGCCATTTGGGGCAAAAATTTGTCAGGAATGGTACTTGGTCCTGCTGTGAAGGCAGGGACTGGACTCAATGACTTTTCAAGGTCCTTTCCAAATCTAGGAGAGAGGCAATCTCCATTAATTTAAACAGGTATTGTCATAAAATGCAGTGTGATATTCAAAGTAAAAAGTAAGCTTGTCCAGCACATTTCTGTTTCTTCTTCTGTAATATAAATTTGATGTTGAGACATTTATGTTTATTGTAGATGATCACAATTTGTGTTACTATTCACATATTTCAAATAATTTAGACTTTTAAAACTTTCTATCCCTGTTAATTTTAAAAATGAATTCTATATGCCTGATTTTCAGAAGTTGACATAATTTTCTATCTCTATTTGTGCACACTCCATTATGCCCGCTTTTCAGTATTCACTTTTAAATGCAGGTGCTAAAATTTGTTCACACAAACCCCATTGGTTCAAATTGTTTGCACAGGAAAGATCAATTTGAGATTGCTTTGAAATCTAAATCATACATGTCAGAAGTTCTTAATTTGGAAAATATGATGAGAATGAAGAATTTTGAAAATTCTGGGGGAAACTGGCTAATTCATTTTTTAAAATTATTTTTTAAAGTTGCACTTCCTGGTATCTACTAAGGGAACAGTAACATTGATAAGGGAGATCAGCAAGATAAAACCGAAACAAAACAAATAGATCATTTTGCATATTTGTTGAAGCAGTACCATTAACATCTGCTGGACACAGGTCCTCTATAGAAAATCTAAATGTCTCTTCAGATTTTGTTATGAAAAAAAGGTGTGTACAACTGTTACAAAAGGTCCCAATCAAGCTGCCAAATACATTTATATATATTCTGTACTTACTGGCGTTGAAAGATTTAGTATGACAAGCTTAAAAAAATTCTTACTTTTAACAAAAACTCAGGTTTTCTCTTTAATATTTTCTTTCTCAAGAGAATGTTTAAAGCCCACAAAGTAGTGATAACTGAAGATCAAATATAACTGATTATAAGCTTCCATGGTTTTTTTTATAAAGCATGGTACTAAACTGAAATGCTACATGATTATTTTTTATCTGCCTTTGTTGCGAGATGAAGTATTAACCGATTTCTTATCTTTTGTAGATGCGTTTACGAGACAGGAAAGACTCCCCTCAGCTGCTAATGGATGCTAAACACATCTTTCCTGTTACTTTTCCATTTAATCCATCCTCTCTTGCATTAGAAACCATTCAAATTCCAGCCAGCTTGGGCCTAGCATTCATCTCACGTGTTTGAACCAAGGATGAACTTGTCAGCTATTAACAATAAGTCCATTGCCTGAAATCTGAATCCATTAACATATAGTGAGCCACTGAAAATACGTTTTTGAGAGGACAGTACTATATATTCCCAGATTTTTAGTATGAGTAGCTGGAAATCTACATAACCATACCACAACTGGAAGGCTGGTAGAAACATGTGCATTTGTATAGGCCATTATTTTCATGTAGACACAGTACTGATTGTTAGGTTTCCTGAATATGAATATGGGGCTTGGGCAAAAATTGTGTCTTCAGATGCCTAGAAACATTTTTAGATCTTTAGTAACATATTTAAATAGTGTACATTTAAAATCCATACACACTCTTCTCATAAGGAAAGACTGATAAGGACAGATGCAATACTTTAAGCAGAGGACTAAAAGTAAGGCATTGTGTAGTAGAATACATCGTCATGTAGAAACCTGTTTGTCCATTACAGTTTTTGACAATTTAAACATAGCAAACTGGCAATATATAAAATAATTTGTTAAACAGCTTCCTTATTTATGTCAGCCCTGACATAAATTATGAAGTATTATTAAAGTCTTTTGGCTTACGATGCGGTATAACATAGGTGTTCATTTGTTAGGACTGTGGTTTACTAAGCATATTAAACTGCTGCTGAGTATTGTGTTCTTTAAAATATATGACTGTATCCTTTATTAGGCACTAAAATAAGAGAGTTCACTTTTTATTATCAACTTTGTTTACAATCCAGTGCAATCCGTTCCTTTAACTGGATTTATGCAAATGTCAACAAATATCACCTGGAAAGGAAAAATGGTAACTAAGCACAAGTAGCAGCACACTGGAAGTTAGATTATCGTTTTCTTTAAAAGTTTACTAAAATATTTGTCTTGTGATAAAATGAACAAAAGTCAGTCATGATTATAACATTTATTTCACATTTTTGTAGTTGGTCAGGGTTTTTCCTTTGTCCAATTTTAGTCCCCGGAAAAGGCATTGTATTTTTTCAATATCATCCATTGTATATCTTTTTCAGTATCATCCATGGTACTCTTTAAGATGTATTTTCAAAATACCTAGAAGGAAAGGGGAAATTCCTTCAGTAGGCCAATACCTTTATTATTCTATCTATTGACTCTAGGAAATATACAACAAACACTGACTAGGAAGGGAGTAATTAAAATTGTGCAATTTGTGAATCTATCCACATAGTTCATAAACCTATTTAACAAAAGGGTTATTTCATGCTAGAAAAATACTTTTAAAAAATCTATAAAGTGTTCTGTAAGATCCAGAATACACAATGACAAATTACAGTTGTTTTAACCACTGCACTTCCAATCAGAAAGAATATTTCCTCTTGTTACTCCTCAGATTTGCTCCACTGTGGAATTTTTATTTCAGAATACACAACAGTTAAGTCAGATGCCTTGGTCAACACTCTGTTTCTGAATTTTAAAATACTGTCAGTGATGTATAGAGCAAATATACATGTGAAAAAGTTATGCATTACAAAATTGTAGTGTGCAATATTTTAATGTATCGTGCAAATTAGCAACTTAGCATGAACATTTGTTTCTTTAAAAGATCAGAAAAATATTCTGGATGTATACTTTTACAATGTTCTGGTACTAGTCAATTCCCTTGCAAACCTGCAGAATAATTTTGCTATCAAGTGAGCTGACCAATACATTTCAGTTTTATTTGAGATGTAAACATGCACCTTATGTATGGTGACTGATAATATGTATAATAAAGAGAAAGCTAGATCTTTTGTCAGTACCATTTTGAAATGCTCATGCCTTTTTATTTTCAAAAGTGTATGCCCATTTTTTGTGTTTGACAGCTCACTACTGATACATTCAGGTACCTACAAGTAAGCATTGCATATTTAATTTGGATGATCTTTGTTAAATTATTTAAATTATTTTCATATGCAAAGTAAACCAAAAGCACTTCATCCAAATATGTTTGTTACTTTATCTCTGAGGACAAGGATAATATATACTGGCTCCAAACACAGTATAATTTAATATGGTGGGGTATACTAATCTTTCAAAATTTCAGGAAGTACTGCACTTGTTAATATTTCATGAAAAACCCTGATATTGAGTAAGAGTGTAAGAGCAGGAAATAGGTGAAAACATTTAGAAAAATAGAAACTTTTTTTCTCCTCTTTAATAAAAACTGGCACAACAGTATATTTATACTGTAGATCAGAACATATATTTACTACTTAAACACAATTATGAAAATTTGTTTAAAAAATTTTGTTTTTAAAATTTGTTTACCTGTATAAAGCCTTACTCTGTCTGTTTCCTTAAAGTAGTAGTTTGTTGTTTATAGGTATTATTCTTAAACTCACTGGGTTTGAGTAGTGTTACATTTGTATCACATTAAAAGTGTATGCTGCTTCACATGTTTTGAAGGAAAATATTTCTAAGTTGAAGTAGATGTGTACTTGGTAATTCATCTGAGGATTTACACAACAGTATTTTGCGTGTGCTTTTCAGCAGTAAGAATTTTAATGTTGATTTATGATATAAAATATTTATCTTTTTAGGTTTAAAGTCTCTAAATAACTACAGAAAAAAACGTAAACATCTTTTAACAACTTATTTTTTCCTTTGAATCATGGTAATGCTCTTTTAATGTGGACATAACTTTTATATTTTAATTTATTATCTATTGGTATAGTAGATTCTGTTGGATGCTGGACATTATTAATTTGTCAATGTCCCCTTTGACATATATGACCATTCTAAAAATGTTGCACAAGAATTACCTCATTGAGTTAGGTATAGTTTTAGACCAGGGATTATTTTGCTCTGCCTTTTGCAACATAATCTTCTATCCAAATTTTAACAAATTGCTACCCAGGCTTGAATCTAGATAGAACTTGAATGTGCTTAAATAATTTTGCTTTATTAAAATATGATAAAGCTAGTCGACCAAATTAGACCAAATTAAAAAGATAGGGTATACGTCATCTTTGAAAAGTTGTTTTTTTAATCCGTTAACAGTTGCTCCATATCTGGAAACACCAGCATTTGAAAGCTGAAGGACTACATCATCTAGGATGTAAAATTGAACACATTTCAAAATACCATACAGGAATTCTGAGAATTACTTTTGTTTAAGATGCTGATAATTCATCTGATTAAATAAATACCTGTAAACAGGTTTTCACTTTATACCACCATGGTACATTAATGAAAATCAAAACAATATCAGAAAGACATACGCTTTGAAATGTAGTAGTGTCTGATGTTGTACTTAGTAAATGTGTGCATCATAAACACTGTATCCTATTAGCTGTCACTGAAAAATGTCCAAATAAAAAACAACTCTACAGCTGTTAATTCTGTTGTTGTTTTTGTTTTGTTGTGAATAATTAAAGTACAGATATTCAAATGAGGTCCAATCCAACCTCCATGGAAGCCATCAGCAATCTTTCTATTGACTTGAAATGGCGGTTGATTCATGTCCATGTTGTAAATATATGAGTGTCTTTTATTTTACAGAAAGCAATTCTGTCAGTATGTTAACATGCTACTATTTCTAAGTGCACAGAAAACAAATGATAATAATTAAAAAAAGAAAACTAAGGTTGAAAATTAAACGAAAACATGGACTTTTGTACCCTGAACATTCTAAAACATTAATTTACAAGAGAGAGGAGCAGACTCTTGAACAGGCCTGGGCAAAATAAGACTCGAGAGCCGAATCCGGCCCGCCAAGCCACCGGATCTGGCCCACGGATACTGTGGGGGAACCCCAAGCAGGCTTCCCTGCTTGCCTTGCCCACCTGCACGCCACTCAGAAATGTAGCCGTGGGACGGTTTCACTTTAAAAACTGAGCCCGGAGGGAAGGCGGCAAGGCTTTAGGAGTTTCAATAACAGGCAGCCACATAGCACAAGGGGCTCCTAGTTATTCACAGAGCACATAGCTGTGGCCTGTGCAGGGACGGGGCAGGCAGGGAGGCTGATTCAGGAACGGGCCGATGGCTGCTAATTCCCTGGCCACAGCCTCCCTTTGGCACCCCAGCCTCTCCCATCCCCAGCCCTCTGTCCCCCTACTCCATATACTCAAATCCTCTGCTCCTTTCCCACAACCATACCCCTTCCCAAATCTGGCACCCAGTCTCCTGCCCCAGATCACAGTCCCCTCCTGCCCTAGCTCACAACCCAAACCCCTGCTCCTTCTCCTGTACCCCAATTCCCTGCGCTAGGTCATAATCCAACCCCCTGCACCTTAGTCCAGTGCGCCAGGTCTCAACTGCCATCTTCACCCAAACTCCCTCCCTTCTGCACCTAACCTCCATCCCAGACCATGCACCTCCTCCATTAATATGGAAGAGTGTGGCCCTCGACCACTTTCCAAATTCTTGGAGTGACCCCTGTCAAGAAGTATTGCCCACCCCTGCTCTTTAACATACTTCTGCAGCATCAAAAACCAAATTGGGGTGTTCTTTGTGGGACTTCAATATCTTAAAGACCTTAGTGTATCCGACCAACTGTGATGCTCCTGGAGATTCCCTAGGCTGTGAATAAGCCTTGTCACTGACTGCTAGGGGTCAACTCCCCAATCCCAATAGCTATGGGCAATACAACCACTCCCCATTCAGGTCCATCTCCCTCTCTACAGGGTAGTGATAGATTCACTCGGGCCCTCCAAGTGTCCCTATGGTCCGAGCAACCCCTGGTCCACTGAGTACTCACTGAATTCATATAACCTGCTGCTCCCAAAGAGCCAGTTCCTGCCGGTTTACCATTTTCGCCTCAGGATCATCACTCTGGTTAACACACACCACTTGGATGTGTTTGCAGTGAAAACAAAAGTTTATTTAACAACATACAGAGCTTCAAGAAGTAGCAAGTTAAATTACTGGAAACAAATGGTTGCATGTCAAATAAAATAAAATACATTTTAGAACATACTTCAGTAATTATTATCATATCTCACATTGCTCATCAGCATTCCTCAGCCAGGTAGGCTTGTGGTCCCTTTTTCAAGAAATACTCTTGTCTTAAGTGAAGAATAATATCACACTAGTTTTGATCTTTATTTATAAACCAGCTCCTTTGCTGCTGTGTGTTCTTCTGTTGATTTTGCAATTTCATGTCACTTTTGTAACTTTGATGAGTTGGTGGCTTCATATGAGAGAGTCTTCTTTATCTGTAGAGCACCTAGAAAAAGAAGTGTTCACTTCCCCCATCTATACAGTAACTTTTTATAAGTTATATTTATAATCCTATCTCCCTACAGCTCTGAAAAAAAATTCAGGGAGGGGACTTCTCTCCTCCCCTAGGAAAACTCTGCAATCTGTAGCATCCCGTCAATTACAGAAACACCAAACCATATTAGACCACATCTAGACTGGGGATTTGCCCCAATTGCAGCCACTGATATAGCTGCACCAATGAGTCCATTAGTACTGATAGTAAGCCAATATTTATTCTCATTGCTAGACATCAGGGTAAGCTATTGGTGCTGATTACAACTTTTCTTGATTGTCTTTGGGATACACCAGAGCAAATATGTTGGTGATTGGCCATAGACTGAGAATTTGCCTCAATTCCAGCAAAATAGATAGTGCCTTAGCTACAACTTTATTCAATCAGGCAGGGGTGTTGATCATCTTTGAACAACATCTTGGGCGCAAACTGTATGGACACCTCTCTTCTGGTTTTCCAGCCCAGTTTAGGAGCACCATGTTAACCACTATTCCAGCTAACACATGGAAATCTGCACCACAAGGGTCAATCTATGGTAAAACATTTTGCTTCTCCAAAGTGCAACACTATTGCATACCCAGTCCCTTGCACGTGCTCTAGCCCTACTGGGGCAATGTTCCCTGTAATCTCTGGGCTGGGACAACCACCCAGGAGAGAGACAAATGTGGTCCAGCTGATTAGCAGAGTGTCCACAGCCAGTAGCATGGGTTTCTGCAAGTGGTACACATTTGCACATGCCTCAGTGCACATAAAACTGATTCCACACATGGATAGAAAATATTGTTAGAGGGACATAGGTTGGACCATGGTCCATGCAGGCAGACTCCATCCCCACTAAGTGTACTGGTGAGAAAGGGACCTAGATCTGACCTATTTGTATAGGTGGGGGCGCTGAGAGAGCCCTGGAACCAAACTCATCCCTCAAACAATGGGAGGGATAGCTCAGTGGTTTGATCATTGGCCTCCTAAACCCAAGGTTGTGTGTTCAGTCCTTGTGGAGGCCGTTTAGGGATTTGGGGCAAAAATTTGTCAGGGGTGGTACTTGGTCCTGCTGTGAAGGCAGGGGAGTGGACTCAATGACCTTTCAAGGGCCCTTCCAGTTCTAGGAGATTAATTTTAAGTGGCTCCCATTGTAGCAGGGTGACAGTTTGTAACCCATTGGGGAAAGCCCGAGGCAGGGAAGCGGCCCCTGCCCCCGGGTGTGTGTGAGGCAGGCGGGGGAGGGGGCTAGTCTCGGTCCTGGGGGAGGCTGAAGCCCCGGAGCCCAGCGGCAGGTCCAGTGGCAGCTCGGCTCCACCCCGCGCGGGCGGGACA